AAGAAGTACAGCAGTGATAAAAAAATCCTTCCTGTTAGATTCTGATACACAAAGCTCCAAAGATCTTACAGACCAGGTTTTGATTTTTTTTTTTCCTCCCCCAGGATTAAGTGGCTTCAACAAGGAAGCAGAGGGCTCTTTGGTAATGTGTTTGAAGATCATGTCTATATTCTTATTGATACATCCCAGTCTATGGAAGACAAGCTGCCACTGGTGAAGGAGAAAATATTTCAGCTCATACAGGTATGATAAAGTGATGATTCTGAAGACTGAGGAGCATTTTAGAGTAGGCTGATCTTTTCCGGATGGTGTTACTCTAATTTTTATTTTTATTTTTTGAATAATGTAAAAAAATAGCAGCTTTATGAAAATACTTTTATTTTTCTTGGTGTGCTCATTTTTCAGTTAAAACTTTGTATTTTTTTCCTCATTTGTACAAATATTTGAAAAAAATCTGGAGAAAATGTTAAAAATTCAAAAGGCTTAAGCAGTTCTTTCCCTCAAGCCACCTCTCTCCTAAAAAAAAGAAAAGGGAAAAAAAAAAAGGAAAAAAAAAAAAAACCTAGGCAATGAAACACCTTTTGGCATTTCCATTTTTATTTTTAAGCAGAGTCATCTGATTCTACTGGCATGTTGTGATTTGTAATGTGTGTTCTAGATTCACTTTCCTACTTTTACATTAGAGGGTGTAGAATGTTTTGAACTAGCTTGCATCTTACAGTGACTCAGAACTTTGCAAAGGGACTTGCGAAGTGCAAAAGTACCTGAAAAGCAGTGAGTACTGGGAGACACACCTAAGACAGGATTTGTCTCACCTAGTTTTAGAAATCTACAATGATGTCACCTAAGCTTACATTAATATTTGAGAGAAACAGGCGCTGTTAAAACATGATTCATCTTAACTTTTTTAGACTTGAGTAAATGACAAGTAAAAATTCCAACAGTCTGGCATCGATAGCAATCATTAGCAGGGCTAGAAAATTTAAAACTACAAGAGAGAGTTTTTTGAGCTAAGTGCATAAGTGATAGGACGTATTACGACGTGGTACTCTAGACAGATCAGTACTAGAAAATTATTAGGTACTGTGCCAGAAGCTTTCACAGCCAGCTGCACAAAATTGGTGATGAAAGGGAGGCAAAGATTCCAGGCTCTCAAAGTTTGTACTAGTTTGCACAAATCTTTCACTCCTTATAACTTCTGTCCAAAAGCAACCTCATCAAATTCTTAACTTAATCCTCTCTTGCTGTCCTAGTTCCCCTTGCCAGTGCTCTACATTTGATTCTTACTGTCCTCTTCTAAATGATGTCTTACTTTGATTCTGATTTCAATTCCTTTGGTAAGCAGTCATAATCTCTTCCTTATGTCACTGTTCATACCCAGTTCCATCTCTCTTTTTTGCCCTCCTAGACATTTGCTGTTCAAGTAGTTTGAGAAATATGAGTAAATGGAGACTTACATTGGGAAGCTCAAGTAATCTTAATAATTACAGGCAATAATTTTCTCTGTCTCTCTGTATACCATAACTAAATATTATAATAATTTATTGTAACTGTATAATAAACTATACATTAATTAAAACAATTCCTATTAGTCAGTATTTCAGGATACAAGTATTCTTTATTTTAACACTGAGTAAAATTCAGATGCTGTCTCCTGCAGGAACAATTGAGACACAAAAAGAGATTTAACTTTGTGAAATTTAGTGCCCAAGCAGTGGCATGGCAAGAGAAACTTGCTGAAGTTAATGAGGAAAATTTGCAAGAAGCTTGGCTTTGGATAAAAGGGCTTGAGGTAACATGGAAACTAATTATCATGAAGCATGTTTGTACAGAGTTGTATCTGTGTCTTCTCTTTCTGTATGGCTGGGGTATTTTTGGTTTGAATAAGTATTTGACTTGAGTAAGCTGAAAATATAGATGATGTATAGACTTTAGTAGATCTAAGTACAACGTAATTATCTGTGACAGGTATAATATTTTTTTAACAGTGGACCTGTTTATAAGACCATACTAATTCAACTCACAGCCTGCTATGTTTAGTAGCCACAATGCAAACATTGATCAATTTGATTTCTGCAGGAACCATGACAGTGCTCAGACCCTGTGTCTAAAGTTGTCACTCTTGCTGCAGGGATGCTGCATGGATGAGGGCTGTTGCTGGCAGACTTAGGGCTCAGAGGTGATACAGGAAACTGGTGCCAGTTAGCTGGAGGAGCATTTCTAGTCCCTTCTGGTGCACAGACAGACAGCTGACTTTAGCCTTCATAGGAACATGAGAGCAAACTCAGACCAAACATCTGTCCATCTGCCCAATATTCTTTCTCTGACAGTGGCCAAAATCTGAGGATTTTCCCTGAAACAGAGTAGAAGTGCTTGTAGTCAGCCACAGTCAGCCACCAGACTGTAACTGTCAGCAGCTTTAGGATCAGTTAATGTGTCAAATGTGGACAGCAATGTCACGAGCACGGGACTGAAAATCGGTCATACAACAATAGAGATATATCCCATGTTATATTTTCTAACACAAAAAGCATGTTTATATAATAAAACTCCTCAGCATTATGGCAGTTCTTCCTCACACTTAATCATGAAATTCCTGGGGTTGAGGGAATTGAGGAAGCTATATAATACCTCTGAGACTACAAAGCAAGATAAATCATAGAATCATAGAATTGTTTAGGTTTATGTTGGAAAAGACCTT